ACTCATTAAACCCTTATATCAACTGTTAATGTGTTTTGGTGTTTAAACCTGGCAACAAAATCTCCATGTTTCTTTATAATCTTTTTCTCATCTTCTATCCATTGTGGAATGTAATGAACAAGAAGACTAATAAATGTAGAATTTTTTAATTGTTCATTTTGTGTGTTTTGTTTTTTTAATAAAGAAAATAACGGCAGCAAGTCTTTTTTTACAGGTGCCAGCAGTAGGTTCTCACCAATGTATTGCAGTAGAGGATCATTATCCTGACATCTCTTTTAAATGAGTGTGTATATGTCCAAATCTCTGTTTAGGGTTGTCCTTGACCCTGTTTCAGTGCAGAGAGATCAAACAGGGAGAAGAAGTTGTGCAAGATTAGCCGTAAGTGGTTGAAAGATTGAACCTCAGGAGAAAATCTTATGTGATGCTCTTCACTTCTGTCATCAAAGGCAGTGGACATTCAACTTGGGAATTACAGATTTATTTGGAGATTATATAGATTTATTTCTTCCTTAGATGTGGCTTTCTTGTTCCATTGTTTGCCATCCACAGCTCAGGCCTTAGAGAGTGGTGCAAGAGACATGGAACCAACAAGAACCTTGACATCAGAATTGGGTCTCCTGTGCAATCTGGCCTTTAGTGCATTGGTTGGAGTCAGCTCTATTATTCTCTTAAAATTATTTGACCAAAGCCTCTGGGGTTTTATACAGAACATAATTACGAGACCTGTGAAAAACTGTTATGTGGGTATGTGGGCTATTTCTCTGAGTAGTGGAAAAAGTTTTATAAACTTCTACAAATAGTAGAGCTGGAAGCCTTTTTTCAAAATGAACGTTTATGTCCTGTAGAAACCCACATAAATGGATTAGGATTTAATCTGCCAACAGTAACCACGATAAAGGTTATTTGGCCTGTTTTGTGATATATGAAAATTTGATAAGCTATCAGCAATGATCCGTTGTGGAATATTACACCAGATTATCTATTATTTCACCCCCGGCCTTCCAGCATACATATGATTGCACTTCAGGTAGTATTATTGCCAGTTAGATAGACAATTGTTTGCTGCAGTTTTAGGTAATGATATAACTAAATTGCCCTTCTTTGTTTAGCAGCAAAAATATGTTAAGAGCTGATCTAGACCTAGAAATGAGACTGTGAGTCAGATATTTTAATTTTAAAATAAAATACTGGGTAATATTTCAACAATTAAACACTAGAAACTATTAACTGAAAATCAGTCTTGGCTATAGCTTTCTTTTCTCTTTTTCTGTACACAAGAGTAGAGAACTGGTTTCTGGTATAATTTTTTTTTCCTAAGGGAAAGATTTATGTACAGAAATTTCTTACTTCTTTAATCCTTTCTTTTCTTCATTTGCTTTTACTCCTTTTTATGCATAGGCATACCTCATGGTTTCTTGCATCTTTTTTCCCAACGTGTTCCAGAAATTTGCAACTTTTATTTTCGATTCAATTTTTCTTTTTTTTTTTTTTTTTTTTTACATTGAAAAATAAAAAATCACTACTTTGAAGTGCCTTTTTATTTTATTATCTTCATATGTTTGTAATCTACTGCTCTCTGTGTTATGTATTTTGGGGTTTTTGTTGCATTGTGTTTGTTTTGTTTTTATTAGTACTCGTGCTGTTAGAGGTCAGTTAAATGAGTTTGTGTGTGCACATGCATGGTTTGAGGTGCTTATTTTGCACTGACAAAACTGGTAAGTACAAACCTGATAACTGATAATATTGGGCTACTGTATAAGTATCCTTTCCATGAGTTATTTTGTACCTGAAAGAGATTTAGAAGCATGCTCACCTTAAACAATAAATAACTTCAGTGTTGCGACATTTAAGAATAAGAAGTTGAAGATTTTAAGTTCACTGGCAATACATATGTATAATTTAACACAGTTCAGTGAGACATGTAAATTTTGAGCTTATATGTGTGGGAAACGTGAATTTCTGTCATTATATAGTCACAGGCGCATCTATAAAGCTATGCCAGATGATAATATTTGCATAAATGTTTATATAAATATGCTATACTTGCATAGTATTTGTAGGGGTTTTGAATTGAACTTAATTTACCATTTTACAATGAGACTGAGTTGAACCTACAGCTAAGCACTTCCAAAATGGAAAATACCATTCCCTTGAGTTCCTATCGTGTTGCCTTTTACATGGAAAACAATATGTATATGAAATTAATAGGGTATCTATCTATCTAGCCTATATGTTTCTAGAGGAGATGCTGTTCCATGAACAAATAGGGGAAAAATTGATAATAGGATATTTTTTGATAGTTGGAAGGATTTTTCCTATATTTTTAATAAGAAATGCTGGGGTATATACTGTGAGATTACCATAGATCTGGTCTAATGCTCTCTATTTTTATGCAGTCCAGAATAGTATGACCATTTAAGCATAGCTGTTTCATTTTTGTTGTTGTTGTTGTTGGGTTGGGGTTTTTTTTAAGTTTTTTTCATGGTGCACATGCAGCTGTTCATTTAAGTTTGGTAGAAGCTAGCAGTTGAATTAAAGAAATTTAATCTAAATTTCTAGTTTGTTGTTTACATTATTTTGAACTAAAATCACAGTGATGGACTAACCTTATAAAATGAAAGTGGGATTTTGTAGGGTGGGAGCACAGTTACAGAAAAAGGAAGAAAGTGTAATACTTAATATTTCTTCATATGAGGATATGCATGTGAAATTGAAGCTCATGGTAATTGTTGGCGTATTTCCTTAAGCACAGCATTTTGCCTGTGATTTTTGAAAGGATTAATCTCTTGCAGCAATTTATGATAAGTTTCTGGTGGATGATTCTACTATTTTATTTATGTTTTTTGCCTGGTTCACCAGAATGCAATACTTTTGCTCCTTAGTACAGTAAACGCACTCTGTAATATCTATTATGGTATGGCCAAAGGATAATTTATTGTCAGATAGAAAAATAGGTCAACACTAATGTCACTTGATGATCAACCTCCCAAGTTTAATAAAACACCTCACCAGCACGCATTCTGCACAGCGCTTGATGTTTTATTAGGACTACAGAGCCTTACAGTACCTAGCTATAGCAGGAGTGTAATTACTGAGCTGTCAGGGTGATAAGTGGGATTAATGGCAGCCTGGTGCACTTTAGTCTGCAGAGTGCTTAGAGAATCAGAAGATGGTATTATTATAAGAGAAAGTCTGGACTGCCATATTCATGGCACCCTCCCCTCCCCAAAGCTCATATTCAAGTTTGTGTTACCCGCCCCGCCAATAGCTGACATTTTCAACAGCTGTTATTTGTGAACCAGCTCAAAAATCAGAAGAGAAATAATTTGGTAAAGATGCTTGCTGGCCACAACGAGTAATCTGTACATGGCTTACCCTGCTAGGTGCCATTCTAGTCAAATTTGACATGAAATTGTTCTATATATAATCCACAGAAATGTATTTTATGTTAAGTGCAATTCATTGGTCTTGGATGCAGGTCTGTTGTATTTTAAAGACAAACACATTCAGGAAAGTGAAGCACAAAAAGTCATAATGGAATTGTTGCCTTTTTTAAATGCGTGATTTTCCCCTTCTGTTATTTCCTTGCTGCCTACACAGGCAAAATGATCATCCGAGCCCTCATAGTGGTGTATTTTGTCTGCTGTATCTCCTTTTTTCTGGCTTCTAGTACTAAAACTTCGCTGTCTTTCAATCCGCTAAGAGCATCCTCTTGACTCAGTCCTCTGGCCACATCAACCCTGCCTTTACTTGCTAAGGCATTTGTACTATGCCTGTCAGTGGGTAGTGGTGGGCAACGGTATGTTTAACTGCCACAGCTAAACCTGCTGGTGCTCTTCTGCCAGAGCATCCTGACTAGTTGAACTCGTAACCCACTATGTTGAACCTGGCTTTGGCTTTTTCAGATTTCCCAGCTTTTGCAACCTATGAGACCTGTTTTCCTTTAAATATTTCCTCCTTTTCTCCATGACTAGTTAGATGACAATGAATAGGAAGATGAAAGACTAATCTTTTACTTAAGTAGCTTTGCCTTCTGTCTTATTCTGCCCTTAACTAAAAAAAAAAAAATAATAAAAAAAAATAGAAATTGTAATGCATGTAATGACAAAGGCCAGGTTTTTTTATTGCAGGTATTTCAGGCATTTCGTTCCTTTTAATGTGCTCTTCATTTCTTTGTGTGTAGTCCATAGGCCTCTTGCAGCTTTTCTGTGTTTGAAAATAGTCTATCCCAGCCAGTTCCACAGTGTTATTATCTCTCACTAAGTAATAATAATTAAGGTGGACTTGTGGAACTTATATAAGTAGTTGTGCTCAGATAATACGTAGAAAACAAATTTTATTTCATTTTCCATAGATTGTTAAAACCACAATTCACATAAATTCTCTATATTAGTAAAACAATATTGAAAGAGCATCTGGAATACTTAATGAATTCTGAGATAATTAGTAGTGTGGCATTTGACCTATGATAGTCATTGATATGTAAGATAAAAAGTGTGTACAAATACCTTTGTGTTTAATAGAGAACCATTTTATTTCTTCAGCTGACTTTTACCTTTTTTTGTTAGGTTTGCTTACTGAAAATTGCATAGACCATCCTGGGGGCTTAATCCTTAAAGGGGACTTGTGCAAGCAACCAGACTGGTACATCCATTTTCAAACAGAAAAATGAAATGGTCAGAAGTTTAGCAATCTTGGATTACAGGGAAAAAATTACTTCTATGTAATTAGATGTTTTTTCTTAATACTTAAACATGTGTAGTCCATATGTTTGTAACTGCATCCTACTGCCTTCCTTTGTAAAGTGGAGTCAACAGAATGTAACCAACCAGTGTTAAATGCAAGTCAATAATGGTGTAGTGCTTTGAGGTTTTAAATAGAAATTTTATGAAATTGCTCTGTGTTCTTCCTTTGTGGCTTTTCTTCTACCATGCTCACGCAAAAACCTTGTGGTATTTGTATTCCATGTCTCCTTCACACATTTTCTTTTATTCTTGTAGATGCTTAAAGTGTGCAGATGCACCCTGTCAGAAGAGTTGCCCAACTAATCTGGACATCAAGTCATTCATCACGAGTATTGCAAACAAGGTAAAATTAGGCTTGCAGTAGTACATGGAAGCAGATAACAGCTGTTACTTGCAGTTCTGTTAGTGAGGCTGCATTTCAAGGTTTATCTTTGTAAAGGCTTGAAAAAAAAAAATGTTTACAACAGATGCTTTAAAGTTCAACAGTCAACTAGTTTTTAATTATTTTTGCTGCTGTTCTGTGCCCGTACAGATAGTGTATAGTGCAAATCTATTTCTTCATGTCACTTTTTCTGTGAAGCTTTTGTTTTTGATGGTTTTTAAATATAATGGTATTAAAAAACCTGAGCATTACAATGTAATTATTTAACTTTGCTGCTACCTGAGGTATTACAGTTACAATTTTTTTCTTTCATTAAAGATTTTTTTTTTAAAGAAGCTATTATAATTTAAATTTGCTTAGGGCAGAAATTTGGCATGAAGATGGTCGTCTCAAGGAATGTTTTCTTGTAGTTTTTAGTAAGGGGCTCTGGTTAATGCAAATGTACTCAGTCACTTAGACTGTTAATAAAATACTGCAGGAATAAATTTAATCCCCTTTTTGGAGGTACTGTACCTTTTCCTTTCTTAACAGGCTATTATACTATAATCATAATGAAGTCTTAAAAAGTTTATTCTGATTTGTGGTTTACAAATGACTTTTAACAGTCAGAAATAGAAATAAATAAAGATGACTGCAAAGTTGATATGACAAGATTTATTAGGCTGTGTCTGGGATAGCCTAAAGATGACTGGATATTGATTGCCCTGTACCTTTTAAAACTTACTTCCCATCTGTGCGATCATTAGTTGCTGTGTGATTTATTTGTCTGTAGGAGCCCAACTAGACTCATAATGTGCTGGGAGTGCTACAGAGATTTTCTAGCCGCATTTTATGCTCAAACATGTCTCACTGTTAGATGCAGCTGAAAAGGCCAACACAGGTAAAGCTTGAGTGAAGTGGGCAACAGCAGCACTGCTGTGTGCGAGTTAATAGTCACATTGCTTTTACTACCCTGTGTGTTGTACAGAGAAGACACTGGTAAATTCTGCACCTTAACAAGAAGCATTAAGATAAGAGGAGATATTCAGAGAAATGTATCCATTATGATATAACTATGTGTTGATGTGGTTTACAGTAATTGGCATTATGCCCAGCATCTGCATATAGACAGTTTCTTTATATAATCTGTACCCTGTCAGTGCAGCATTTCTTTTCATGAACGTAGGCATCTGTTTGAAACCATAGTACAGGATGTGGCATATTGATGCTTATTACCTCTTCCAGGCATCATGAAGCAGGTAAACTGAACAGAGAGGGTAGAAGTCAGTAGTGAAACTGCTAGTCTCCAGCTCATAATTTGTGCTGTTTTGGAAACCTAAAGCAAATTTTACTAAAGTATTTTACCAGGATAATCTTTTCTTATTAAGGATTAGTATACTACTGCTTTGAGTAGGATAAGGTGATATGTTGCTGAGGAATGGAAAAGGGCCTGCTTTATAAAAACATAAAAGCATCCAGGGAAGATGGACTGAAGACTGCAACAGGTGTCAGAAGAGGAACACCAGCAGCATCCTGGAACAAGAAATTTGGTGTGTCTTTTAGACTCTGATAGCCTCAGAAATAGAATACCCCTTTGTGACCTGGCAGAAAGGGTAAGTCATTTTAACAGCTAATTCATTCTGAATTTTCTTAATCCATTACAGAAAAGAGAAAATCAAGGTGAGGTGACTGTAGAGCTTTGAGAGTTGTATTTTGGCAAAGGTATACTGGAATAATATCAGGAAACTGACTCAAAGATGCAAAGGGAAGTCTTTGCCCTACTGAAGCCAATGGATACAATTTTACAGGTTTTAACAGGGACAGATTTAACCTGTCAGATGGTCAGTGATGTTGATCAGCCCTGTAGAGTTTGGGCTGTTTGATGATAACTCTTTTAAATCATCTTGGAAGCTGCAGATGCTATGTAAAACTGGTTTTGCCCTGAGCGAGCAGGTGACCTGATCACTTGCTGTTTTATCAGGAAATCCTGCTTTGGAGAAGAATTGCAATATACTACTATTCTCTCAGGAGATTTAACATTCTTTGCAGAAAACCCCAAGTATCTTAGATTACTGAAACATACTTATAGCTTTTCTTTTTTAGACTCTATCCCTATCAATAGCTTCTGTATCCACTCTGAATCTAGTTTTTATAAAGGTATATAATAGTTTTGGTAACTGCTTTTAACTCAAGTTGATGCCTGATAATTGCATAGACAGCAGGAAACATTCATACACAGGAAGTTTTAAAAAGGAAGTCCTGCATATCTGTGGACTCCACGTCAATGGCTGTGCCTCCTGTAATTCATGTACCAAGCAACATCTCAGAGAAATAAACAGTGTGTAGAGGGAACCCAACCTTGACTTGATGAATGCAGTCTTCTGGGCTGAATTTTCTTCTTGGTTAATTAGTTTCTGGTGCCTTTGCTAGAGAATATTTCTATTATAACAAATTCATTCTTCAGAAAAAGTAACAGTAAATTTTTCTTGTTTCCTTTATTAATAGGATTTTTTTTCTAGCTATAGGTATGTACTGCTGTTTTTACACTACTGCATTTTGAAACTCCTAGCTTTCTGGCAAGCAAGCAATAGATATAAGGTGGAAGTTGAGAGAGGGGTACCAAAAGTTGAAATGATTCATATGAAGTCATGACCCTGGCAGAGTCTACGTGAGAGCCCATGACCATGCTTGCTCCTGCAGTGTCCTCTGCCCTCTTTCATTCTGCTGCTGTGGTGGTTGGGGTACCTGCATCATACACTTTTAGAGCAGATAGAAAACAAGAACTGTGTGCTTTTGAAAACCACACTTAAGTTTCTACCTTATAATTTTGAAAGTTTTTAATGGAACTAGTAAGTAATTTTTCACCTTTTTTAATTTCAGTTTTGAATTTTTCTAAACTTTTATTGAAATAATCATTTGGATGTCATTCAGCAATCTGCTTGCTGAATATTTTTTATTATTGTCATAAGAGTATTTACTTCACATGACTAAGTATATTTTACATGTTGTTGAAAAAACTTTTCAAAATGATAAATCTTTTTTGCTGTTTCCCCCATTTAAATACACTTTATTTTTTAATCCAAAATCTTATGAATTTGTCTGGTAGCTTCTAGACAAAATGAATAGGTGAAGCGTAGAACGTTCAGATATTTGAGGTCAATAAGGGAAACTGGAATACGCTTTCTAGGCTCATTAAAGTCCCTCTCCTGCTTCTGAATCTTTCTTCATCACTCACTTGAGAAACTTAATTCAGCAGGTTACCCTTCTACTTTTTCAGAGGAGATTCAATTCAGTAAATTCCTTGTCCTCATCCCTCTGTAAACAGTAAGCAGTATTGCACACAGGTATCTATTTAAACATGATTCATTATTAATACAGAATATTTAGACAGCAGCATATTGAAAATGAATTACGTTGTCAGGTATTTAAGAGCTCTATTGTATGTAGTTTGTTTTGTTGGAAAACTGCTATAGCAATCATAAAAGGTTGAGGATTCTTGTTCTTTTAAGCCTGAGGCTTTTTAGATATTTACAAGCCATGTACAATGTAGCTGTTCTGCCATTAGACCTGAGCTCAGGAGTAGGAGAGGGACAGGGGAGGAGGGGTTGTTTCTGGGTTGAGAGGGTAATTGAATTGCCAGACTCAATGAGCCTTGAGCCTCTTTGAGAAAAAAGATGTCACTTATGCTGTATTGTGTTAGCTGCTGTGACTCAGTAGACTTTAGACCACAACTTCCATTCTCTTTTTCCATACAAACTGGATTACAACTCCACTTTATAAAGGTACAATTTATTCTATTGTGTCTTCCCAGTCAGTGTTTCTTGGTTCATACAGACCGCTTGCAATTGTGTCTGAGACAAGACTTCACATTCATCTTGCACACATTTCTACTTTTGTTTCTGAACATCAGAAGATGGCAAACAATTATTCTGACTTCCAGCTATCTTCTCTTTAAATACAGCCTTCACATTGCAAAGTGTATATTCTTTGTTTTATAATGCACAAGTGCCATCATAGTTATTTCTTTCTTTAAAAAGAAAAAACACTATGAAAAAAAAGTGTTCAGCTGCTCTAGCAGAAGACTTTGCCCCCCAACCCTGAATGAGTACCAGGAGTGATTTTAGGATTTTAAGTCCTCCTTTCCCTGTGTTGATACATGAAAGCAAGGAGGACTTGGTAAAATGGAGCTCCAGCACCTGTCATCTTTTAGGGCTGGCACAAGCAAGTATTGTACAGCAGCAGAAAATCCTACAGCTTACCAGAAGCAACTCTCAGCCTAAACGCTTGGAGCCTGTCCAGCTTTCCTCCTGTTAAGCAGAAGTGTGTGCCAGAGGAAGCTGCCCATTAGAGAGCAACAGCTGCTCACGTGCTCTACCTTTGTACTGTTCAGTGAGATGGTGTTATGGTTGAGTATTTGCAATGAAAAACAACTGTTGATGCAGATTAGGTGTGGGGATATTAGGTTGTGTTACATGGCACAGACCTAAGGAATGAGTGAGTCAGCCTTCATAGTCTTGAGTCTATAGCAAAGAACTGAGGGTGCAGAAGTATCTTTTGTGTTATCAGTACTCAAAAATCACACTTTGTCACTGCAGCCCTCTGTTACTAGCTCTCATATTTTTATCTCAAGTCTTGCAGTATTGAAGTGATTCCTGACACTGATTCAACAGTTTTCTCCTTGTTCAGAAAGGCCATCTTCCATATTCTTTAATAATAAAGATAAACTGGTCTGAGCTGACACATGAACCGTTTTCTAACAGACTTTATAGGTGGATATAAGCCTTCTGGTGGCCAGCGTTTAAAAAAAAACCCAAACCAAAACAGAAAACCACCAAAACCAACAAAGCCATGCTGCCCTCTGGATAAAAGGCTGTCCCTGGACTATGCAGAAGGCTGGTAGGAAAGTGGGGGAGCGAGAAATGAATGCCAGGAACAGTACAGAGAAAGTTGTGAAACACAAGGGTAAGTTTTAGGATTTTAGA